GCACACAAAACACAGCTGCCTATACGCCCCAGCAGACAGGAGCACGAAGGCGGCCAGCGGCCAATAGAAGCGGAGCAGCAGCAGCAGCAGCAGCAGCAGCAGCAGCAGCAACAGCAACAACAGCGGCAGAAGCAGCAAACAGGCCACCCGTTGCCACGGACGACAGGCCTCCGGCTGGTGAAGGTGCAGCAGCAGCTGGAGCAGCAGCAGCAGCAGCAGCAGCAGCAAGTCAGCGGGCGCCAAGAGCAGCAAACGCCGCTGCAGCAGCAGCAGGAGAGGAGGGCGTAGGGTTTGCAGCAACGACAGGGGCAGCAACAGGAGCAGCAGCAAACGCCCCGGGACCAGCAGCAGCAGCACCAGCAGCACCAGCAGCAGCAGCAAGGGGACCCGGCGCATACGCACGTCGGTCTCCACAGCAGCAAAGCCGTCAGACAGCTCCAGCAGCAACTGCTGCTGCTGACCGAAACACCCGCCCTCCGCCTTCCTCTGCAGCAGGAGCAGCACGAGGAGGCGGCGAGGCAGCAGCAGCACCAGGAGCAGCAGCACCAGGAGCAGCAGCAGCATCAGCAGCAGCAGGAGCAGCAGGAGCAGCAGGAGCAGCAGCACCAACACCAGCAGCAGCATCAGCACCTGGAGCAACAGCAGAATCAGCAGCAACATCAGAACCAGGTGTAGGAGGAAGACAAGGAAGAGCAGCAGGAGCAGCAGGAGCAGCAGGAGCAGCAGGAGCAGCAGAAACAGCAGGAAGAGGAGGCGGAGCAGCAGGAAGAGGAGGCGGAGCAGCAGGAAGAGGAGGCGGAGCAGCAGCAGCACCGGCGACATCAGCAACAGAAGCAGCTGCAACAGCAGCAGCAGCAGCATCTGACGGGAGGCGTCAATCTGGGGGTCGCCCTGTAAGGAGGAGGGGCCGTATGGCCCCTCGGGGCGAAGCCTTATCCAATGCTGGTGGTGGTGGTGGTGCTGCTGCTGCTGCTGGTGCTGCTGCTGGTGCTGCGTCTGCTGCAGCAGCAGCAGACAATGAAGAAGAAAGCGAGGAAGAGGAATGGGTCCCCTGGGATGAGAGTTGGGGAGATGATGTGCAGTGGATAGATGAAGAAGAAGACATTCCCCTCAGCAGCAGCAGCAGCAGCAGCAGCAGCAGCAGCAGCAGCAGCAGCACCAATGCAGGTGGCGCTGCTGCAGCAGGAGGCCTCCCCAGCCAAGCACCAGGCAGCCTAGGCTGGGCGGTGCAAACGCCGCAACAGCAGCAACAGCAGCAACAGCAGCAACAGCAGCAGCTGTTTCTGCAGCAGCAGCAGCAGCAGCAACAGCAGCAGCAGCAGCAGCAGCAGCAGCAGCAAGGTCAAGTTAGTTGCGACCTTCTCAGTGCAACACGGGGCGAGTGCATATCTCCCTTTACCTCGCAGCAAGCAAGAGAACAACTCTATGTGCAGCAGCAGCAGCAGCAGCAGCAGCTGGGTTCTACTGGGCGCTTCATTCCCCTGCAGGGCGGCCTTAACACCAGAGGCGTCTCTGGCTGTGACAGCACCTGCTGCAGAGAGGTGAGGCAGACCTCCTTGCTGCAGTTGCTGTTGCTGCTTCTGCTGCTGCTGCTTCTGCTGCTGCTGCAGCTTCTGTAGGTGATGTTATGGCTACTACGACTGTTGTTGCTGCTGTTGCTGCTGCTGCTGCTGCTGCTTCCTCTGACTCCGCCGTTACGGCTACTGAGGATGTTGTTGCTGCTGCTGTTGTTGCTGCTGCAGCTGCTTTTGCCTCTGCTGTTGCGGCTACTGGGGTTGTTGTTGTTACTGTTGCTGCTGCTGCTGCTGGTCTTGGGAGGTTTACTGCAGGTTGCTGCTGCTGTTTCCCTCAAGTGATTGCATGTTTGCTGCTGCTGTGGTGCTCGGGTTGATGAAGGGCCCTCACCCGTTCCTCGTGCTGCTGTTGTTGCTGCTGTTGTTGCTGCTGCTGCTGTTTCTGCTGCTGTTGTTTCTGGTGCTGTTGCTGCTATTGCTGCTGCTGCTTGCTACTGTTGCTGTTGCTGTTGCTGCTGCTGCTGCTGCTGCTGCTGCTGCTGCTGCGTGCAGGGCTACTACTGTTCAGTAGCAGGTGGCGGCTGCTCTCCGCAGCGTCGTTTAGGGGAGCAGTGCTGGGGTGTATCCTCACTGGAATGTGTTAATGGTTTAATATGCTTAAATCAAATCTGCAGCCCTCCCTTCTCTGTCTTCCCTTCTGCTGCTGCTGCTGCTGCTGCTGCTGCTGGTGCTACTGCTGCTGGTGTTGCTGATGCTGCTGGTGTTGCTGGTGCTGCTGCTGCAGCAGCCGACGCGCGAACAGACGCAGCAACAACACTACCAGCAGACGCAGTACCAGCACCAGCACTAGAAGCAGCAGCAACAACAGAAGCAGCAGCAGCAGCAGCAGCAGGAAAGGGTGTTGTGCATGCAGGTGTTGTAAGCATCGGGCCTGCGGTGTCTCCGCTTCATGTTTGTGTTCCGTGGAGTCGCCCCATCATTGTGGGGTTTCTTTCTGCTGCTGATAGCCCCTCAGCAGCAGCATCGCTGCAGCAGCAGCAGCAGCAGCAGCAGGCGCTGCTGCAGGTTGCATGCGAGGCTCTAGAAGGGCAGGAGTGCACTCAAGATGCTGAGTGCTGGGGCTTTGCTTCACCCTTTGCTTACTGCGAGCAGCAAGACAACCGCTGCAGAGCGCCAGCCTTCCCTACGTGTCTTCCTTTGCTGCAGAAGCTGCTGGGGCTGCAGCTAGAAGCATTTGGACGCTCCTTTGAAGCCCTGCAGCAGCAGCAGCAGCAGCAACAGCAGCAGCAGCAGCAGCAGCCGATTGAAGTCATGGTGCAGCAGCAAGCTCAGGGCTTCCTCTTCGCTTCTATCCCTCAGCCGTCTCACTGGGGGGCCCCACGGCAGCAATGGGGGGCTGTTGGTGTTGCTTCTGGGGGCCCCTTTGCTGCTGCTGCACTTCGTGAAGAAGCAGCAGCGCAGCAGACGGGTCTGCTGCAGGCTGCACTCATCTGCTGCTTCAAATACAGAGAGCAGCAGCAGCAACAGCAGCAGCAGCAGCAGCAGCAGCAGCAGCAAAATGTGCTGCACCAAATAGTTGACCTCAAGGGAGTGTCCGAGGGGCCTCAGTGGAATATCCCTTGGCTGCCAAATCCTCCTGCAATTCGTGCAGGTGAGGATACACCTCAGCAGCTGCAGCAGCAGCAGCAGCTGCTACTGCAGCAGCAGCAACAACAACAACAACAGCAGCAACAGAAGGAACAGCTTCTGGAACAACAACAACAACAGCAACAACAACAGCAGCAACAACAGCAACTGCTCCTACTTCAGCAGCAGCAGCAACAGCAAATTCTTCTGCAGCAGCAGCAGCAGCAGCAGCAGCAGTTGCTGCAGCAGCAGCCTCCCCTCCCAATTGGTGTGGGAGGCCCCCAGATGTGGAGAAGCGGCACTTCTCAGGCTGCTGCCGCGCGACGTCTACAGCAGCAGCAAGAGCAGCAGCAAGAGCAGCAGCAAGAGCAGCAGCAGGAGCAGCAGCAGGAGCAGCAGCAAGAGCAGCAGCAAGAGCAGCAGCAGGAGCAGCAGCAGGAGCAGCAGGAGAGGCAGCTTCCTGCAGGAGTTGTGCTAGCAGCAAAAGGCCCTCGCAGCAGCGCAGACAGCCAAGGGTTTAGTGGGGTTGTGTGCAGTATGCAGGAAGTTGATTTGCTGCTGCTGTCTCTGAAGGACAGCTACGACGTCTTTGTGTATCCTGCAGCAGCAGCAGCAACAGCAACTGTGCTTCATACAGACGGGCTAGAAGCTGTATTTGACGCGGGCGCAGCAGCAGCGCAGCAGCAGCAGCGGCAGCAGCAGCAGCAGCAACAACAACAGCAAAAAAACGCAATACTTGAGACGGAAACACTGCTCAGGCTGCAGCACGAAGAGCAGCAGAGGCAGCAGCAGCTTCTCATGCAGCAATACGCTCTCAGCAACGCACAGAGACAGCAAGACCTGCAGCAGCAGCAGCAGCAGCAGCAGCAACTGGGAGCAGCCGTGCAGCCAGCAGCAGGAACCCTCCCATCAGCAGCAACAGCTGCAGCAGCAACCCCGCAGCCACCGACGGCCCTCTCCCTCGACCCGAACGCAACACCAGAGCAGCAGCAGCAGCTGTTGCTGCAGCAGCAGCTAATGCTGCAGCAACGACAGCAGCAAGCATACTTCACCCAGGCCACAGAGAGCGCTCCCCAGCAGCAGCTGCAGCAGCTGCAGCAGCAGCAGCAGCTGCAGCAGCTGCAGCAGCTGCAGCAGCAGCAACGGTCTGCAGCAGCTGCAGCAGCAGCAGCAGCTGCAGCAGCTGCAGCAGCTGCAGCAGCAGCAACGGTCCTCTGGAAGTGATTCAGCTCCTGGAGGGGGCGATTTATATGTTGTGCGAAGGCAGACAGAACGCCCAGCAGCAGCAACACCAGCAGCAGCACCAGCAGCAACAGCAGCAGCAGCAGCAGCATCACCTGCAGCAGCGCCCGCAGCAAATGGAGGAGTAGTACGCAGCGCAACGACATCGCAAAAGGCGACGAACGCTGAGGAACATGCAGGTGCAGCACCACCTGCTGCTTCTGTTGCTGCTGCTGCTGCTGCCTCTAGAGGCAGCCAGGCAGCAGCAGACGACAGCAGCAGCGACCTTTTCCTAGAGGAATTTGATGAAGATGACGAAGAAGAAGAGTTGCAGCAGCAGCAGCAGCAGCAGCAAAGCCACAGAGCCAGTCAGCGCAACGATGCGCAGCTGCTGCAGCACCAGCACTACCAACAGCAACCGCAGCAGCAGCAACTGCGGCAGCAGCAGCAACTGCAGCAGTACCAACTGCAGCACAACCAACTGCGGCAGCAGCAGCAACTGCAGCAACCGACGCAGCAGCAGCAGGGGAGTCAACCTCAACGAAGGTCTGCACCTGTAAGCATCAATGCAAACACCAGCAGCAGCAGCAGCAGCAGCACCAGCAGCGGCACTGCTGTTCCTCTGTCTCGCCGCGAGCAGCAGCAGCTGCAGCAGCAAGCAAGACTGGCAGCTGCGCAAGACTTGCAACGACAGCAGCGCCAGCAGCAGCAGCAGCGCCAGCAGCAGCAGCGCCAGCAGCAGCAACAGCGCCAGCAGCAGCAGCGCCTGCAGCAGCAGCAGCGCCAGCAGCAGCAGCGCCTCCAGCAGCAGCAGCGCCTGCAGCAGCACCAGCAGCTGCAGCAGCAGCGCCTGCAGCAGCAGCACCAGCAGCAGCAACAACGCCTGCAGCAGCATCTGCAAGGGCCGCTGCAACACGGGAGCTCTCTTGTGGGCCCTGTAGCAACAGTAGCAGCACCAACGGCAGCAGCAGCACCAACAGCAGTAGCAGCACCAACAGCAGCAGGAACAACAGCAGCAGCAGGACAACAGGCAGCCCTGCCGGGAGCGAGCGCAGCCTATTCCCCGTTACAGCAGCAGCAGCAGCAACACCGTCATCAGCAGCGTCTACAGCCGCAGCACTATCAACAGCCGCAGCTGCACCAGCAGCAGCAGCAGCGCCATCAGCAGTTGCTGCAGCAGCCACACCAGCAGCTGCAGCATCAGCAGCAGCAGCAGCAGGCGTTGCACTTGCAGGCTCCTTCTTCTTATCGGCCTTCTTCCCAGCCCTTTGTCGTCTCCTCTTCTAATCCTTCGCCTTTGCCTTCAGGGGGCCCCTCTTCGCAACTGCAGCGGCAGCAGCAGCTGCAGCAGCAGCAGCAGCAGGTGCCGCAGCAGCAGCACAGGTGGGCACAGGAGAAGCCCCTAGAAGCCCAAGGGGAGGCCCCTATGGAAATACCCCACGCATCTCCAGCAGCAAAGGGGGCCCCCAGTCAACAAAACCCTCTAGGGGGCCCCCATGAAGACAAACTACTGGGGGCCCCCCTGGGGGCCCCCCAGAACGAGCAGTATGTGGGGTGGCTGCTGGGGGGCCCCCAAGAAGGAAACCCTCTTGGAGCCCCTATTGGGGCCCTTCTTGGGGCCCCCCATGAAGCTATGCTTTTCAAGGCCCCTCTGGGGGGCCCCCATAAAGAGGATCTTCTAGGGGCCCCCAACAAAGGGAATCCTCTAGGGGCCCCTCTGTGGGCCCCTCTGGGCGCTTCTCTAGGGGCCCCTTTGGGGGCCCCTTTGGGGGCCCCCCTAGGGAACCCATTGGGGGCCTCTTTGGGGGCCCCTCTGGGGGCCCCCCTAGGGAACCCATTGGGGGCCTCTCTGGGGGCCCCTCTGTTGAACCCACTGGGGGCCCCTCTGGGGGCCCCTCTGTTGAACCCATTGGAGGCCCCTCTGGGGACTTCTTTGGGGGCCCCTCTAGGGGCCCTGGGGGCCCCTCTGGGGGCGCATGAAGAAGGGAAGCATCTAAAGGCATCTGTGGGGGCCCCTTTGGGGGCCCCTTTATTACCTTCTAATTTGTTTGGGTTTGGGTCTGGGGTTCGCCATTTGAGGGAATTGGAGTTAAAATTAAATAAAAAAGAAATGCAGAAAATTTTGCTGAGGGTGAAGACGGGAGAGAAGACGGTGAGTGCAAATAAATAAATTAATTAATTTAATTAAATAAATTAATTAATTTAATTAAATAAATAAATTAATTTAATTAATTAAATTAAATAAATTAAATAAATTAAATAAATTAAATAAATTAATTTAATTAAATTAATTAAATAAATATTAGGGAGAAGACAAATTAAAATAAATGAATAGATAAATAAACAAATAAACAAACAAAAAGGCAAAGCGAGAGATAAACATATAAACAGAAAGAGACAAATAAGGAGACAACTAAATAAAGAACAAAGCAGAGAGAGAGAGTGAGAGAGAGAGAGAGAGTGAGAGAGAGAAACAGAGAGAGAGAGACAGAGAGACAGAGAGAGAGACAGATAAAGAGACAGATAAAGAGACAGATAAAGAGAGAGAGAGACAGAGAGAGACAGAGAGAGACAGGAATAGCAGAGAGACAAATACAAACAACAAATTTAGGTGGTGCTGCAGAAGGAGACAGCGGGGCGGCATCTCTGTTAATTTTTGTTTTTATTTGTTTTTACTCTCCCTCTATCAGCTCCTTCTGCCTCCTCATTGCTGTTTAAATCGCTGCATGCAGAAGGGGGGACCATGATCTGCCTGGTGCTGCTGCTGCTGCTGCTGCTGTTGCTTGTGCTGCTGTTGCTGCTGCTGCTGCCGTTGCCTTATGAGCAGCAGGAGCAGTTAAGCCTGAAGGCAGCAACAGCTTGTTCTGTGTTGCCGATATAAGTTGTTTGTTGCCGCTGGTGCTGCGTGTGCTGCTGCTGCCGCTGCTGCTGTTGCTTGTGCTGCTGCTGTTGCTGCTGCTGCTGCAGCTGCTGCAGCAGGTGCCGCAGCGTCTGCAGCAAGAGGAAGTATTTGTTGGGGGTTTTATAGCTGTGTTAGAGGAGCAGATGTCTTTGGGGGCCGTCGGAAGATTAATAGAAGTAGCAGTGCTGCAGCTGTCTATTAAAGAGACAAAGACAGCTCTGCTCTTAGGTGTATATACACCTCAGCAGCACCCCACAGACAGCAAACAATCGCAGCATCATCTCTGTGAAGTTCTACAGGCAATTCAACAACCTCCAGTAGAGGATTTCCTTAGTAAGGAGCTGCTGCTGCTGTTGCTGCTGCTGCTGCTACTGCTGCGAGTGCTGTTAGTGGCGTTGGCGTTGCTGCTGTTGTTGTTGCTGCTGCTGCTGCTGGCTTTGGTGCTGCTGCTGTTTGTGTTGATGCTGCTGCAGCATTACGTTTGTTGCAGGCGTTATTTACCGCAGGTACTCTGTTTGTGTTGCTGCGCTGCTTTGCTGATGCTGCTGCTGCTGCTGCTGTTGCTGCTGCTGCAGAGACGTGGGGTGCTGAAGGTCCTGTTGAGGTGTATACAGACCCTGTTGCTGCTGCATGCATAAAGAGCAGCAAAAGGAGTTATAGCGTCTGGAGGGAGTTAGTAATAATGCCTCAGCTCTGTCGCTCAGAAGAAAACTTTGCTGCTGCTGCTTTTGATATATACCTGCGTATACACTCCGAGGGGAGACAGCTGCGCAGCTGGCAGCAGAAGCTGCAGGCCCTCAACCAATGGCTAGACGCCTATCAGCAGCAGCAGCAGCAAGAGCAGCAGCAACAACAGATGCATGATTTGTTTGTTGAGTTGGTGTCGCTGCTGGTTGTTGAGTTGGTGTCGCTGCTGGGAGCAGCAGAGGCATACAGTTTGCTGCAGGAGAGTGTGAAGGGCAGCGCCGGTGCTGCTCGTCCTTCTGTCGTGCTGCTGCAGCTGCTGCAGCTGCTGCATCTGCTGCAGCAGCAAGATGGTTCACCTGGGGAGCAAGAAGACCGAGTGGCAGCAGCAGCAGCAAGGCGGCTGCTCCTGCTGCTGCTGCAGCAAACGGAGAACAGCTTGCAAGAGGCTCTGCCTGAAGCAGTAAGCAGAAGAAACCAAAATGCTGCTTCTGCTGCTGCTGCTGGTGCTGTTGCTGCTGCTGTTGCTGCTGCTGCTGCGGCTGCTGCTGAGGTTGCAGCTATTGCTGCTGCTGCTGCGGTTGCTGCTTCTGCTCTTAGTACTGCTGGTGCTGCTGGTGCTGCTGGTGAATGCCGTTTTGTTTGCTGCTGCTGCTGATGCTGCTGCTGCTGCAGGGTCCGCTGGAGGTGGTTGGGTTGCGTGCAGAGGGCCCTTCGCTTTTTATATCGGTGCTAGTGAGTAGACGAAGTTGCTGCATTTGCTGCTGCTGCATTTGCTGCTGCTGCATTTGCTGCTGCTGCATTTGCTGCTGCTTCATTTACTGCTGCTGAAATTGCTGCTGCTGCATTTGCTGCTACTGCATTGTCTGGTGCAGCAATTGATGCTGTTGTTTCTGCTGCTGCAGCTGCCCTCGTCTTTTTTCTGCGTTTGTTTGTATGTTCGTGCTGCTCTAGGTTTGTGCTGCCACTGCTACTGCTGCTGCTGCTGCTGCTGCAGGGGGGCGATGCGCTGGAGTCTGAGGTGTACAGACACCTCAACCTCACCGAAGAGGCTTTTACTGCAGCAACAACAAACATCTCTGGTTTGCTGCCGCGCAGTTCAATTCTTTCGCTTCTCTGTCCTGATGAAGTAGAATTCATTGCAGGATGTAAACGCCTTTCTTCTCTGCTGCTGCTGCTGCTGCTGCGCTGTGCTGCTGCTGGTCTGCTGCTGCTGCGGCGGTGGTACTGCTGCTGCTGCTCTGCTGCTGCGGCGCTGGTGCTGCTGCTGCACCTGCTGCTGCTGCTGTTGATACTGCTGCTATTGCTGCTGCTGCTGTTCCCGCTGCTAGTGCTGCTGCTGCTGCTGTTGCTTCTGCTGTTGCTGTTGCTGCTGTTGTTGGTGTTGCTGTTTTCGTTGTTGTTGCTGCTGTGTCTCTCGGGTCCCTTTGAATTCATACAAATTCAGATAAAAGAGAAGAGCGAATTCGCTGCTGCTACTGCAGCTGTTGTCGCTGCTGCTGCTGCTGCTGCTGCTGCTTCAGATGAGACCTTTGGAGAAGGAGCAGCAGAGGAGCCGCCATCGCCTCAAACAATTCACTGTCTCTTCAGCAAACCCATCCTTCTTCGAGAAGCTCGGCAGCAGCAGCAGGAGCAGCAGGAGCAGCAGCACGTGCAGCAGCAGCACGAGCAGCTGCACGAGCAGGAACAGGTGCAGGAGCAGCAGCAGGAGCAGCAGCAGGAGGAGGAGGGGGAGTTGGATGATGCTGTTGAAGCTGCAGGTTTATTAGTAGCAGATTTTCTCGCTGATTTGTGCAGCAGCGTTTGTCTTTTAAAAGACAGCGGCATCACTGCAGCAAATGATGTCGTAGCCTTCTCTTACTCTGTACGCTCGCTTCCTGCTGCTGCTGCTGCTGCTGCTGCTGCTGCTGCTGTTGCTGCTGCTGCAGATATATTGGTTCTAAATGTCTTGCTGCAGCAGCTCAGGTGTCTGTACAGCTCAAAGTGAAGATATTGCCAGTCATAGAAAATGTTTTTTATTCCTCTTTGAGAAAATAAATGAAGTTAAAAACAAATTGTTAATAACAATTAATAAATAATAAATAATAAAAATAATTAATAAACAATAAATAACAAACAATAAATTATAAACAGAAAATAATAATAAGTAAATAATGAGAAAAAAGGTAATAGAGAGTTTGAGGTGTATGCATCTAAATTAATAAAATATAATTTCTGATCATTATTTTTATTAATTATTCTTTTCTATTCTTTTTTATTCTTTTGATTTTTATTTATTTTCATTTTTATTTTATTTGCATGCCGCAGTGAGAGTTGTTGCTGCGGAGTTTGGTTTGATATATATATATATACATATATATATGTATATATATATATGTATATAACTGTATATATATATATATGTATATAGCTGTATATATATATATACGTATATATGTATACACTGCATATACAGCGCATATATTCTTGTTTGTTTATCTTCAGGTAGAGCCTTTAGAAGGAACAACTAAAGAAGAATTTAAGTTAGTAATGCATAAAATTATGCAGGCTGTGCTGCTAACAAACTCTCAGCTGTACAGAGACCTCCCCTACGGCGCACTCGTTCTTCGTATCCAACACAATCTGCAGCAAACTCCTCAACTTATTCATACAGAATAGCTGCAGCAGCAACTGCAGCAGCAGCAACTGCAGCACCAGCACCAGCAGCAGCACCAAGTGCAAGTGCTGAAGTAACAGCAACAGCAACAGCAACAGCAGCAGCAGCAGCAGATTCAGCATCTGCAGCAGCAGCAGCAACAGAAGCAACATTAGGAGGACAATCTACAGCAGCAGCAGCAGCAGCAACAGCAGCAACAGCAGCAACAGCAGCAACAGCAGC